CTGACGGATTACCTCCTTTGAGGGATATCTAGCATGAGATTGATTTTCTTCTAGGTGCTAGTCTTCCTAATTTGCCGCATTATCGAATGAATCCGAAGGATAATCAGATTCTACAGGAGCAGGTGGGAGAGCTCCTTCGAAAGGGCTTCTTGCGTGAAAGCAAAAGTCCATGTGCAGTTCCTGCGCTTCTCACGCCAAAGAAAGACGGCACCATGCGTATGTGTATAGACAGTCGTGCCATTAACTGGATTACTGTCAAGTATAGGTTTCCGATTCCACGACTTGATGATATGCTAGACAGACTTGCTGGATCACAGATTTTTACGAAGATCGACCTTCGAAGCGGATACCACCAAGTTCGCATCCGTCCTGGCGACGAATGGAAAATGGCCTTCAAGACAAGTGCGGGTTTGTACAAATGGCTTGTCATGCCGTTTGGACTCACTAACGCGCCTAGTACTTTCATGCGTTTGATGACTCAGGTTCTCAAACATTTTATTGGCAAGTTTGTGGGAGTTTTCTTTGATGATATACTCATATATAGTCCAGATGGGCGTCAACACATGGAACACTTGAGGGATGTCCTACTAACCTTGCAGCAAAATAAATTATTTATTAATCTGAAAAAGTGCAGTTTCATGACAGAACGCCTCTTGTTTTTGGGCTTTGTTGTTGGCGCGGATGGACTTCACGTTGATGCAGATAAGGTGGGCGTGATTCGCAATTGGCCAGTTCCCAAGAATGTTGGCGAGGCTCGAAGTTTCCATGGCCTTGCAACATTCTATAGGCGTTTCATTCGAGATTTCAGTACTTTATGGCGTTTGTTTGGGACTGATTTACAGTACAGTAGTTCTTTTCATCCCCAAACGAATGGTCAGACGAAAGTTGTGAATCATACTATGGCGGATATCATTTACTGCCTCTGCAGTGATATGCCTAAGCAATGGGACCGGTATCTTGCTCCTGCTGAGTTCGCCTTCAACAACTCGATTAATCGCTCTACCGGTACATCTCCCTTTCAGGTCGTTTATGGGCGTACACGACAGCATACTCTGGATTTGGTTCCCTTGCCCAAGATTCCAGGCTATAGTGTCGCGGCAAAGAATTTGGCGACCAGAATTAATGAAGTCCAAGCTGCTGTGGCTAGTCAATTGGCTGCTTCTAATTCAAAGTATAAGGAGGATGCTGACAAACGGCGACGTTCGAAAATTTTTGAGGTAGGCGATGAGGTAATGGTTTTCCTGCGAAAGGAGCGTTTTCCTGTAGGTACCTATAATAAACTGAAGCACAAGAAGATTGATCCTTGCCGCATCCTGAAGAAGATCAACGACAATGCCTATGTAGTTGACCTTCCTGGTGATCTCAACATTTCCCCTACATTTAATGTGGCAGACTTATTTGAGTATCATGCTCTCGATACACCCCTCTATCCTAATCATAACTCGAGGGCGAGTTTTTCTGAAGAGGGAGGGAATGATGTAGAACAGTTAGCCTGTGATTATCTTGAACAATGTGATCGCCGTAATCACCGGAAATCTTGGCAGTTTTTCTGATTTTGGGGAAAACAACCATTCAGGCAATTTCCTATATTATCATTTAGGCAGTTTCCTATATTACCAGTCAGGCAGTTTCCTATATTAGTTTATTAGATGTTATCTTTAATTATTTGGTTTCCATTAGTATTAGGAGTCTTATCTCTATATATAAGATGTCCGTTTTGTAATCAAGATCACAGTATTATTGAATAAAAATTTCGAGTTCTTTGGAGTTGTTCCAAATTTACGCTTTCTTTCTGCGGCACATAAACAGGTTCTAACAGTTTCGTAGGATTGTCAATTATCTTGGAGATTTCATCCCAAAAGTCTAAAGTTATGCATCCGTTGCAAAAGCTCATGAAGAAAAATCCATTCCCATGTAAAAGAGAGCATACTAGTGCAGTTGAGGTGTTAAAGGAGAAATTGCTGCATCTTCCCCCATTGCAAGTTCCTTTTGATGGCAAGCGAATCTTTCAAACTAATGCTAGTGAAAAGGATTGGACAGCAGTTTTGCTCTTTGAAATTGATGGAAAGAGGTACATTTGTGAACATAACAGTGGACGGCTTTCACCGATCAAACTTCACTACCACTCTACATTCAAAGAAACCTTTCCCGTCAAATGTTGAATTAAAAAATTTGAATTTTATTTGATTGGTTATCATTTCTTTGTCGAGATAAAAAGTCATCCTTTTCCCATGCGATGAAGTTTAAAGCCAAAACAGTTTCTCAACCTCAACTTGTTCGATGGGTAGAATGGTTTTTAAAATGCTCTTTTGAAACCATACACATCAAAGGAGAGAAGACCATCCTTTTAGATCGACTTCTCATCCTTTTACATGTTCACATTTGACCGATTGCAAAGTAGTACCGTGAGGGAAGTGTGAAAAGAACCCCATTAGGGAGATATGCCACCTAAAACACTTCAGCTTGTCCTTTCTGGATAAATCTATAGAAATACGGAACCTCTCTTTGGGGAATATAAATTGAAGATAGCAATATGCAGATTTAAATCTCATAACATTTGAGATTACTCCATACTGTCCGCTCATCCATGTCTTCACATTCGACGTCATCACCAATCTTCCAGAAAAATTAAGGTGGTTCAATTGGTATTTGTTTCATAGCTATACCATAGCCATTGAAGTCCCTATAGCCACTGTCTATGGGATCGTTACTGCCATTCTTATTGAGGGTTTTTAGTAAAATTATTGTATGTATTTTGCAGAAGTTCTTGAGTGCTTTCACCATTTGCCTAATCGGCAAAACCTATTCTTTACCGAATTGAAGTGCAGAGCTCCAAACTCTGAAGTTCATATTACTATGTTTCTTCAACAGATTTGGTGACTTCCCACCACAGGACTACTAGGACAAGTCAATTGTCCCTATCCCATTGCTAGATTATAAAAATCTTATGGTTGTAGTTTCAGGGAAATTCATAGAGAATACCGAGAACTTCGAGGATCCTATGTGAAGAGAATCAAACTATTCCTAAGTTTTGGCGGCTTAGTACTCATCAAGAAGGAATGCAATGAGATGATTCCCACGTATATTATGCCACCAAGGTTGCCATCCACCAAGCATTAGATGAGTACGAGTGGACTCAGCCAAAACTCATGGGACTTTGGAGAATCTTATATTGAAGACACGAGGTAAGCGGATTTTTAAATTTAAAGAAGATCCTGATCTCGACCTAAATCATGAATCCATAAATAAGTAAATGAATCTTTTAGAGTTCAAGGGCCCATGCGTTGGGTTATCATACTTGTCTCGAATTTTGCTAGTCTTCCTCGTATTTTATATTTATATTTGTCATTAGCTTGTTCCATTTCTCTCTCTGCTTTTTTTTTTTGGGTAATTGTCGTCCGCTTACATGAGGCATTTGATGGAATGTTTGGTCTTCGTTTCCGTGGACTTCTCAATCCTCAAGTAATTGACTGTGAACACGAGGCACCAATTTGTTCAGCCTTCGGCCTTCATTCTTCAGGAGAGAGAAAGCAATATTTAAGCTAATGAGTAGCATTTTTTTTTGTTCAGTCTTCAGTCTTCGTCTGCACGGACTTCGTGGATCGTGAGGCACCAACTTGTCCTTTATATGGACCTTTCTGTTTTTGTTATTTATTTGGCATCCTCCTCCCTCTGTTCTTTCTTATTACCTTCAATGTTGCGTTGTCTCTACTCAACTTTCTAAGGTGTTTCCTGTTGAACAATAATGATATACCAAAGGGCTAATATCATGAAAAATCCTAAACTAGTACATTTGTGATAAATTTATTTCAAAATAATTTTTTAATCACTAAAAACTCCAAACTAGTACACCTGTGATAAATTTACCATCCACTAGTTTCTGTCAAATTTTACTGTTAAATTGCTAACTTGAATGACACATGACAGTTAATTGGTGTACCAGTTTGGGGTTTTATTCCTATGTTTTTTCATGATATTAATTTAATTTAACGATGAGTAAATTTGTCACAAATGTAATAATTTGGGGTTTTTTGTGATAAACAAATTAGTTTGGGTAAATTTATTATATTTGTACTAGCTTAGAGTTTTTGGTGGTCAAAAAATTAATTTATGGTAAATTTAGAACAGATGTACCGGTTTTTCGGGGCATTAGCCCGATACTAAACCATATATTATAGTAGATAATAAGCCATATTCAATAAGTAAAAACAAAATATCCCATCACTCATTATACCAAATTTATAAAACAATCTTAGCGTGTTTGACATTGCTCTTCATTGTTTTTGTCGTAAAATTGAAAACAAGCAAGAATGACACTTCAGTACCAAGACTTTACTAGAATTTATTATTAAATGAAATGGCGCGCTATGTGGCACGCGCCATGTCATCAAATAAGTGTGGAGTATTATAATAAAGTTTGTAAAGAAGGAAAATAGATAAATATGGCAAGATCAATTAAAGGAAAGTTAATTTTCTATTTAACCATTATTTCTTCTTAAAATTACAAAGAATGTATTGCAAATATACTTTTCTCATATTGATCTTAATTATTCACCCATAGTTATCTAATTTTCATTAATTTCGATTACACTGGAGTTAGCATTCATACGGAACTATTGTTAGTTAATGATTGAATTGTGCACAGGGCGGGGGTGTTAATTGGAGCTGAGATTGAAAGTGGGAAACTAGAGAAAATGAGCAAACTACTGTTTCTTATGCTCAACTCTGCCCTCTTGTGGTGCTGGAGCTCAATGACAAGCCCCTGCGCTTGCTTGCAAAACCAAACGGATCGGCTCGCGTTAGCATCCATAAAAAATGCAATACACAAAGACCCATTTGGGGTTCTGAGCTCTTGGAATGATTCTACCCATCATTGTGAGTGGCATGGCATTTTATGCAGCAAAAGGCATCCTGGGAGGGTCACATCCCTAGTCCTAAGATCGCATGGCTTGGGAGGCTTCTTATCTCCTTACATCGGTAATCTGTCTTTCCTGAGGGTCATGGTTTTACAGAACAACAGCTTCAGCGGCGAAATCCCACCACAGATCGGCAACTTGCTTCGGCTCCATCATCTCATTCTTAGTAACAACTCATTTGGCGGGTCGATACCATCCAATCTTTCCCGCTGCTTGGAGCTTAGGATCTTGAATCTCATAGATAACCAACTTGTAGGGGGAATTCATTCCAATCTTGGTTCTTTACCAAGGCTTAAAATCTTGGGCTTGACCAAGAACAATCTTGTAGGTCCTATTCCTCCTTCGATGGGAAACCTTTCGCAGCTAGTACAGCTATCCCTGGGATTAAATGCATTTCATGGAGAAATTCCTAAGGAATTTTCGAGACTCGAGAGGTTGTTACTTTTCCAAGTAGGATTTAACAAACTAGCCGGCGAGATTCCACCTGGGATTTTTAACATCTCCTCCCTCTATATGTTCTCCGTTGCGTGGAACCAATTGCGGGGAAGCTTTCCCTCTGATATCGGCGCCACTCTTCCTTCTCTCTATTTCCTAGGAGCCTCCCATAACTTGTTGACCGGGACAATTCCGTCATCGTTAACGAATGCCACCAGCCTTAAGAAACTTATGCTTTTCAACAACAGTTTCCATGGGCCAATACCGAAAAACCTGGGAAGGCTAAAGGGCCTCGAATTTTTTGTCTTGGGTTTTAACCGGTTGCAGGATGACTCAAGTTTTATTTCTTCTTTAGCTAATTGTTCCAACTTAGAATTTCTCGTGGTATCCTCGAACTTGATTCATGGATCGTTGCCAAGATCCATCTCCAATCTCTCCACGAGCATTAAGCTAATTGATCTGTCATACAATCGGATCCAAGGAACTATTCCTTCAGCCCTTGGAAATCTCTTCAACTTGTCTCTCTTGAATTTAGAGAATAATTTCCTAACTGATCGCCTTCCTGATTCCATTGGAGCACTTTACAGCTTGCAGGAAATTTCTTTGGCCAAAAACATGTTTACCGGAGGGATACCATCTTCAATTGGTAACATGACGTTGTTAAATGTCCTTTTGCTTCGATCCAACAATTTCCAAGGTTACATACCACAAAGTCTCGGCAACTGCAAGCAACTAACCGTGTTCGATCTTTCGAACAATAAACTAATTGGCTCGGTTCCGGCCGAAATCGTGGGGCTTTCTTCCTTGTCGATCGTCTTCAATTTAGCCCATAATAATTTAAGTGGAACTCTTCCTTTGCAAGTTGGGTCTTTAATAAATCTCGCCGAATTAGATCTATCTTACAACAGATTGACCGGCTTAATTCCGGCCTCCATCAGTACGTGCTTGAGATTGGAACGGCTTTACTTAGAAGCTAATTCCATTCATGGTCTAATCCCCCAAGCTTTACGTCCATTACGGGGTCTAGAAGAGCTGGATCTTTCCAATAATAATTTTTCTGGTCCAATCCCGAGCTTTCTTGCAGAGCTCTCACTGCTCAAGTACTTGAATATCTCCTTCAATGAACTAGAAGGGCAAGTCCCAGAGGGTGGAGTTTTTCTTAATGCAAGTGCTGTATCACTTTCTGGAAATGGGGAACTCTGTGGAGGCGCTCCAGGTCTGAAGCTTCCTCTTTGTAAATCACCAAGCTCTAACAAGTCTTCTTCAACCAAGGCCATAGTGATATGTGTGGTAGCTGTCAGTTTATCATGTGTAGCTTTATTGTTCTTGTCTATGCTCTGTTACTACAAAAAGAAGCATACGAGAACCAATGCCTCGACGTCATTATCCTTCGGGCAACAATTCTTAAGGATTTCTTATGAAGAACTCCTAAGAGCTACTGACAGATTCTCCGAGACAAATTTGATTGGTAAAGGGAGATATGGCACAGTTTATAAGGGGATTCTTGACAGCGGTGCCACAGTGGCAGTGAAGGTGCTCAATTTAATGCAAGGAGGTGCTTTGAGGAGCTTTGTCTCCGAATGTCAAACTCTAGGAACCATTAGACATCGAAACCTCGTTAAGATATTAAGTGTATGTTCGGGCATTGATTTTCGTGGCAATGACTTCAAAGCTCTAATATACGAGTTCATGGCTAATGAGAGCTTGGAGGAGTGGCTGCACCTTGAGACTACAGGACGAGATGATGAGCATGGCGAATCGAGAAATTTGAGACTAGTGCAGAGGTTAAACATCGCCATGGACATAGCTACTGCGATCGAATATCTCCACAAGGGTTGTTATCCTGCAATCGTCCATGGAGATCTGAAGCCAAGTAATGTGCTTCTAGACAACGACATGGTGGCTCGAGTTGGAGATTTCGGGCTTGCAAAGATCATTTCAACGGCGTCTGCCAAAGCCACAGGAGTTCAAGACCAAGACAATTCGACTTCAATCGCAATTAGAGGATCTGTTGGCTATGTGCCTCCTGGTATGAATCTGTCATATTTTCTAAATTAGCTTTCGGTTGATTGTGATAGTACTATGAGAGTGTTAAAAGTTGAATAAACAATGATCCTCGTTGTTAAGTTATGCTTCATATGCTCTCACACCTCTTTCTCACAACATAATTTCCTCTTTCCCCTATTAATAGCTTCGTCAGAAAAGAAAATACATATATCTGTATATGAAAAGATTAATAATAGCATGTCGTAATCGTTTTTGAAATTAAGATGAGAATTAACCATGGTAAATTTGATCAATGAGTAGAAATATTTGGTCAAAACTTGTGAATCCATGCCACTAAATGGATTAAGCATACTGTGTTATCTCATATCCGTATTTTCTTTCTATAATTCATATTTTATCTCATATCATGTTCATGCCATGATAACGAACTACGTCAAATATCATAACAATGTCACTTACAGTTAGAGGCGGTAAATGGGTCAAGAACCCATATATTAACCCATACTTAATGATTGTGGGTTATAAGTGGGTTGCGTTTATTTTTAAAAATAGATTTAAATTGGTCATTAATGGATTGCTTATTAACTTAATGGGTCTTAAATTGGTCATAAATGGGTTACACAATAAGCTTAAGTGAAATTTTCAATTTTTTTTAATTTTCTGATTTTTATCATTTTTATGTGCTTTTTATTCTTTTTCTAATTCTTATTCTTTTTCTTTTTCCTTTTCTTTTCTTTTTTTCTTCCTTCTTCTTCCCCCTTTGGTGGCCAGCCACGGCGACGGCTAGCCACAGGCAAGGAATGAGCTTGCCGGAGGCCGACGAAGCTTAGGCTCGCCGATCTAGCGAGGTCGAAGTCTCGCGGGCCTCTGGCAAGCCTCTAGCCTCGCCAATTGGTGCTAGCCTCGGCCTCGCTAGATCAGCGAGCTCGAGTTTGCCCGAGGCCGATGAGCTCGAGTCTCACTAGATCAACAAGGCTCGAGGCTCCCCAGTGGCTGGCGAGGCCACGGTCTCACCAGATCAGCAAGCCCGAGCTTCATCAGCCTCCGGCAAGCTCATCCCTCGCCTGTGGCCGGCCACCGACGGGGGAAGAAGAAAAAAAAAAGAAAAGAAAAATAACTAAAATATATATTTTTTAAAAATAAATATTAAAATATTAAAATGAGTGCACAGAGGAAAATATGATTTTTCATACCAAACGGTGGAAAATATTTTTCAGTTAATTTCCAGGTTTCAACCAAATATTGTCATTTTCCTGAAAATATTTTCCAAAAATGTTATATTTTATGCAAAACAAATAGAGTCTCAATTATTTTTAAAGATTTGTATTGCATGAAGATGTTTGAGCAATACAATTAGCAAAAATAATTATCATAAATAAGCTTTCCTAGATTTAATTAAATGGGTCGGGTCAGGTATGGGTTGAGTAGGGTCGGGTCAGGTTGAGTATGGGTCGGATCGGGTATGGGTCAAGATTTTTGTCTTGCGATAAATAAGTCATACACGGGTTATATGGGTCAAGTTGGGTGGGACCATTTATGACCTGACCCAAACCTGACCCGGCCCACTCATTTAATAGGTCTACTTACAGTACAAGAACTTGTGATTCTCATTTGGTATGCCATGACATAAGGTCTTGATAATAAGTAATTGACCTCTTACGTAATACCCTTTCCTGTTGACTTGACCTATAATTTTGTATTTGTAAAAATATGTTTGATGCATTATAATGACATCAATGGGTATTGTAATTCATGAATTTTTAATTTGTTCAATATAATCCCTGCACTTTAACTTAATGTGCAATGTGATCTCCAAACTTTCAATTTATTCAATGTAGACCCTGCACTTAAGCCCACTGTGCAATGTGATCTTGGAACCTTTAATTTATTCAATGGGATTTCTTAATTTTTAGTAAATATTCAAACTAGTCCCTAGGCCACAATATCACACAACATACACTAATTGACAACACGACGGGCTCTATTTAACATACACTAATTGACAACACGATGGGTTCTGTGCAAGTCTCTTCGTTTTTTCCCCGCTGTGTTCTTTCTTGCGCCTGTTCTTCTAAGCATTTTCTTCTCTTTTGTCTTGCAGAAAAGAAATTGCGTAGTATAGGAATTAAACTGAATCCGGATCATGAAAATGATGAGCCTTGTGTGGATCCCACCGGCGGTTCAAATATAGTAAATACATGTACTAAGTTCGCTAAATAATTTCCTCTTAGGCCTTCACCGCACATATTTTCTTCGCCCTTACCCCACTCGAGAACAAAGTCACTCTTGATGTTTAGGCAATTTGTGCGGCAAACATGTGACCACTTTGGGTGCCCTTGGTAGTTTTGGAGAATGAAGAGTTCATATGTTGGTAACTGATCTTTGGTGCATTTTATAAATCCTTAAATCTCATTTCTCTACTATTGATGCATTCTAATTTTGTCACTACTTTTACCACTTAGTGTACGACACGTACAGGATAAGAACATCGCAAGTACCATAATTTTCGTACAGCACTCAAATAACTTTTTTCTTGATTTGGTAGGTGCTTTCGGGACCCTCTGCCTTGCTATGGCAGAGGATCCCTTGGCCTCTACCATGCACGGCGAGCCTGGCCATGAAGTGAGCGAGGGCTTGTGAGCCATCGCTCTATGTTGGGGGCGATTAGCGCGAGCCCTTGCTACTATCCATGGCAAGCTCTTGCAAATAGACATCAAGCAAAATCCCATGTGATTTAGGAACTTTTTCTATACAATTACCTTCAAGAGAAAGTGCCCATTCATTCGTATTTAATGTCTTGATGAAATTTTCAGAGTATGGCATGGGACACAAGGTTTCCACGGTTGGGGATGCATACAGTTATGGCATTCTATTATTGGAGATGTTCACTAGGAAGAAGCCCACTGAAGAGGCTTTTGGGTACAGTCTTAACCTTCATAGCTTTGTCAGAATGGCTCTTCCGGATCGAGCAATGGAAATTGTTGACTTAAGGCTTTGGAGTGAAGCTGGAGATCAACAACACGAGAACAGGATTAGAGATTGCATAATCTCCGTATTCGAAGTTGGAGTCGCATGTTCAATGGAATCACCCTCGGATCGTATGGATATGACCGAGGCGATCAGGAAATTATGCTTGATCAAGGCGAGTTATGAAACCAAGGAGAGGAGGACAGGTATGTAGCTAAGTCAATTTTTTCGTTCATCTTGGAACTCTTCCACTAGTAGAGAAAATAATCATGGAAAGGCCGTGCTAGCAAAATGACATGAATGTCTCCCTAGCTAGTATGCCTACTTGTGACATTTTAAATTTCGACTCATTTTCGGGATTTATGAAATGAATATTTCTTCAATACGCTTTCAGTAAATCTCACTCGGAATTGATCACTCTTGAGTAGACTAACCGTTAGAGAATAGCTAGTTAGGAATCAAGTACGTGGACCTAAGAACTTGGCCATGGATTGACACTTCGACATAAGAATTGGCGAGGGAATATTTTGAGCCGTCAAAGGCCGATCCAAGGATGGTTACGGAACGATTTGCAAAGGTCGTGCAATTGGATCACGGGTGATTCCACTTGGCCATTATATGAATTTCGAACGATCCTCAACTTAATCTAAACGATCGTGTCATTCAGAACTAGTGATTGACCCTCGCAATTACATGACAACCGAGGTCGCCATGGCTCGAGTAAACTTAGATGTGCCTTGATATCGAATCGGCCATGAGTCGATACGCATAATTCCTAAAAGCTGCCCGTTAGTTCGAGCTACTCTAAAGTCGCATTGAATTTGGTCATTAATTAGAATCCGAATTGGGTATCTAAGTTTCAAGATTTCCACGACTAATTTATCGGACGTCGTCTCGCTAAAGTGTGGCCAATTATCGGGTTGATCAGAATTTTGGAAAAAGGAAATTTGTGGACAAAATATTATTGAGTGTCAAAACGAGGCGTTTACAGTCAGAACTGGATTTCGTGTCCTTCATGAAAAATGTTTATCACAATGTTTTGTACAACATATCTAAATTTCAGAATTTTTGGAATTAATTTACTATTTATTTTAAAGGAAATTCGGTGACTGTGTCACTGCCCAGAATTGCCCGGAATCACCCATTTTTGTGTATACTCGATTTTCTCATTTTCGGGCAATTATTCAAAGGTAGGGTTATCAATGAAAAGTGTGGCATTTTATTGGCCGAGTAAGTATTCGGTTGGCATGTGACCAATTCTCAAAGATAAAAATTGGCATTGAGTGGATAATGTGTGTGCATGATCACGTCACGTTCCGTCTAGGCGGGAGTTCTAGACGATGCCCAGCGGGAGTTCGGATGTCGTCTGGTACCCGGGGTTGCTGGGGGGTGTTCGATCCCAGACGATATCGATCACGGTGGAGGCCGGATCGATGCTCCTAAGTGGAATGCCGTTGGGTACCCGGCTTGCCGGGGGGTGTTCGATCCTCAACATTGCCGTCGCCGACGTAGCGGGATGATACCTAGTTACGCCAGAAGACCGGAGGGAGTTCGGTGGCCCGAGGGATCGTTAATAATCTGGACTTAATGAGTGCGATTTGCATTGGGAAATGCTTTGCCTGAATTAATTGATGAGCACGTATGGATTATTAACCATGTTATGCTTGATTATGCCATGAATTGCTTTGCGCAAGCTTGATGGGCAATTGGCCATGTTATGGCGATATTCTAACGTGCAGGGCTTGTGTACGTGCCAAGGCGAGGTAAGGACGCCTGTGATTGTTATGACATGTTGGATGTCGATATTGCATGATTAGGATTGTTCGGAGGTACGCGTTAGCCTAAGTGAGGCTTAGGTAGTTACTTATTGAGATTTATCTCATCCCCCGTTGTTAAATATTTTCAGGCTTGGAATGACGAGTAGTTGTCATGTGCGATTCGGAGTTCTGGGGTGATGTTGGGCATTGGATGTATCATCATTTTGGATGCCCTGTTGTAGAGGAGTTTAAGTCAACCTCCCTTTTGTATCCGTGGCCTCGTTAGGAAGTAGCTTCGTGTGAGGCTTGTAATTGTGTAAACCTCCTTGGGTTATCTTTGTGAGCTTATAATGACTTGCTATTTTCTTATAGGAAGTGTTTTCTTTACTACCCCGTCTATTTGAATATTGTATGGAGTGTTCGTATTCGCTTCCGCGTGCGTTTAATCGCTAGTGTTTCGATTGGGTCGGCGACAAGACCTGGGATGTCGCATACATTACGACCTTTAAGGGATGATCGCGCGCTCGTAGGGTTTGGGGCGTGACACTACCCATACCTATTATGAGTATTATTTATAATTGCACCAATATCTATATTTAATAATAATAGAAAGTGGATGTATGAAGTTATAGTCTACCTGTTTACACCAAGTAACCTTGTAAAATTTGATGAATTTGCTTATTTGCACGGTTCTCTTCATTTCTGATGCCACTGTGGATCGATGCATTGCTTAATTACCATGATACCGCAGTCAATTGGAGACCAAGCTTGATCGAATAGTTACATGACTAATTCAATCAAATCCAAAGACCTCAAGGCCAACTCTCGATGTCGCGTTTGAGTGTGAGCTCACTATCAATTGGGCGACGTTGCCAACAAAATTCTGGTGCGGTCATGTTGCCGACACCGGCGGCCATCGTGTGTGGCCCCTGCCTATTCTTCAAACCTCCTTTTCTTTTTGCTTTTTCATTCAGAGTTAACAAACATGGACGCATATGTGTTGCAGTCCTCGGTGTGCTCATCAGACTGTTAATAATCCTCGTCAAGTCTTCCCACTCAACCAACCCTATTTCTTTCTTCACCATTAGCCACCATCTCCGGCTGTTGTGGCCCTCTATCATCATCGGCGCCTTCTCCACCTCTTGCCACTGTCGCGACCTCACTACAAAAAACTGATTTTTTCCGACGAAATTTCCAACTTAAAATTCTGGAAAATTCGTTGGAAAACGAATTTCCAACAAATTTTCCAACGAAAAAATTCGTTGGTAATAGGTCGTTGGAAAATTTTCCAACGAAAATTTTCAATTTTCGTTGGAAATTTGCGACGAAAATTTTTCGTTGGAAATTTCGTTGGAAAACTCGTGGCTAAATTCGTTGAAACGAATTTTTTTTCCGACGAATTTTTTTTCGTTGGAAATTACAAATTTTTTTTTGATCGAAAAATTGTGGAAAGTTTTTTTCCATCGAATTTTTGTTTTTTGGTCGAAAAATTTCAATTTCAAAAAAAAAATTTTGCCGAAAAATGGTCCTCATCGCCGGCGAGGCCCGCGGACCGGCGAGCGGCGGCCAAGCGGCACTCACGCGGCCGAGAAAGGAAGAGAGAGATCAGGTCGGTTGGACGGTGGCGGTGAGGCGGGATGGGGTGGCGCCTCGCCGGCCATGGCGAGGAGAGAGAGAGAGAGAGAGAGAGAGAGAGAGAGAGAGGTCTGGTCAGGTGGTTCTCCTTCTCTCCTCCTTCTCTCCGTCCCGTAGGATTTCACCGAAGAAGAGGAAGAAGAGGAAGAGGAAGAAGGAGGAGGAAGGGAGGGAGGAAGGAAGGAGGAGCCCTGGACGGTGGCGCCGAGAAGTTGCCCCGAGGATGATGCCCGCCGGCCCCGTTCCCATACCCGTTCCGCCCTCTAGGCGCGCCGCCGTTCCGATCGGCCGTGGAAGCCCGGCGGGATGGCGAAGACCGGTGTTCGACGCCGATCCGGCGGCGAGGGCCACCGAGGTGAAGAAGGAGCCGCAGGCGGTCGATCATCGCGACGACGAGGAGTGCGGGCGCGAGGCCATCGACTGTGCCGGGATGCCCTGCTGCGCAGGTGCGGCGTGCCGCGAGGAGGGGTGAGAGGAGGTCGCCCCGTGCTCGGCGCCCGAGGAGTCTCCCGGACCCGACTCCAAGGACGCGGGGGGTTATATGTACACACTAAAATAATTGCCCGGAAAATTAAAATTCGTTGGAAAATTCGTTGGAAATTTCCAACGAATTTTCCAACGAATTTTAAAAATGCCGAACGGTACCGATTTTTTTTGTAATTCGTTGGAAAATTGTATACAATGAAATAATTGCCCGAAAATTGAAATTGTTGGAAAATTCGTTGGAAATTTCCAACGAATTTTCCAACGAAAATTGTATACAATGAAATAATTGACCGAAAATTGAAATTGTTGGAAAATTCGTTGGAAATTTCCAACGAATTTTAAAAATGCCGAACGGTACCGGTTTTTTTGTAATTCGTTGGAAATTTCCAACGAAAATTGTATACAATGAAATAATTGCCCGAAATTGAAATTGTTGGAAAATTCGTTGGAAATTTCCAACGAATTTTCCAACGAAAATTGCACACACCGAAATAATTGCCTGGAAAATTGAAATTGTTGGAAATTTCCAACAAATTTTCCAACGAATATAAAAATGCCGAACAGTATCGGGTTTTTTGTAATTCGTTGGAAATTTCCAACTAATTTACCAATGAAAATTTTTTCGTTGGAAATTTCAACGAATTTTGCGACGAATATAGTTCGTTGAAATTTCCAACTAATTTTACGACGAAAAATTTTTGTTGGAAATTTCCAACGAATTTACTTTCGTTGGAAAATTTGTCGCAAATTTGCAACGAAAATTTTTTCATCGCAAATTTTCGTGGCAAAAATCCAGTTTTTTTGTAGTACCTGCCCGTTGCAATCGGGGGACCTAAAATTGATAGGTGAGGTCTAGAGGTATTTGTCGATAGATGTGAACATTAATTGATTCGTTTGGAGGACAAAAGAAATAGTTCATCAATCCAAGGACTGAGGCACTCCCAAGCCTCATACCTCATGCGACAAGAATTGTCTCAACTAAGCATTCAATTAGAGTCACCATTAGCCATGATCATGGATTGGCTAGAAACCCTAATCGAGATGCGGGAGTGTCATCTTAATAAGTGCGAAAACCAGAGATTCTAAGGATCGATGACTTGATTACACTAGCGATCTAACTAGTGTCCTTTCGGTACCTAAACTTGATGGATCAACACATAACGTGTTCATGCCACAATCTTGCCAATTGATTCCTGAAATTCTATCCCTAATTAGGCTAAAGGAACAAAAATCGATATATGAAAAGTGCGCAAGCAATCACCTAGCATGCCCAATCAACCACATGCAAGGTTGAGTTAAACACACAATTCAAAACATGTGAATCAAACAACATGCA